ACACACAGACAGACAGACAGACAGACTGTCAGACTGTCAGGCAGACGGACTGCCAGACAGACAGACAGACAGACAGACAGACAGACAGACAGACTGACTGACTGACTGACTGACTGACTGACTGACTGGCTGGCTGGCTGACTGACTGACTGACTGACTGACAGACAGACAGACAGACAGACAGACAGACAGACAGACAGACAGACAGACAGACAGACAGACAGACAGATGGCCGTTTCGCCCCACTCATCATCATTCACTCCGTGGATATGTTGCAATATTTTTATGCTTGCTGGCGTCACATTTAGTGCCGAACTTTTCATGAGCGGGCAGCCCACCGATAATACCTCACATAAAATTCGGCCGTATACGTCGGTTTTCCGGGAAATGCATGAAATGAACTTAGGAGTATTAAAGAACTGATTTTTTAAAAAAAAATTTCACATCTACTGAGGCCTGGTGACCTAATTATGACACCGAGTTTTTAAACCCATGAACACTTGTGCTACTGGCTTAAGCTGGCTCAATTTTTTGTGGCTTTCTGAGATCCTAACAATTATAGGACAATACGCACGAGAATTCTCTGGTGTAGCTATGAATATTAGGGCTAAATAAACAAATGAACTTCATAGGCATCGCTTGTGTAATTCCGAGAAGTGAAGTGAACGCTAGGCTGGGAAGTCGGTGAAGAAAAAACCGTACTCAATTTTGCCCTACATAGTTATTTGCACACACAAAGCTGGTGTCATATAAGGAGTTAGTCAATACTAGAGTTACTGTAGACTAATTTTAGCAGTGAATTTACAGGCCTGTTTTCGAACGCCACTAGCAACAGCGCATATTGGAGGAGCTGATGCTTATATAGGCCTGAAGTGAACTTTTCTTATAGAACTGGACTGCAGCGAACTGTATTAACATATAAAGCTCATCACAGAAGGCTCCGTTGGCACTGCCATAGTTCTGGCTGGGCTAAATTGGGGTGTCTCCAAAAAGGCACTACCGAGGTTGTGAAGTCAGCCTTTGTACGCTCGTGGTGCAGTCCAGAAAGATAGCGTTTTTTTTTCCTTCCAGTAAAAATATCTATAGTCACCTCTATTAAAGTTTATTGCCGGACAGTGACACGCCCATACCATCGATTGGCGTCATTATGAAGCATATCACCGGTAAAAACAGTGCGTGGCTCAGCTGCATTGCTCTGTCCTCTAACCGCTACTCTGCTACCTAAAGGTTGCATATGGAGTAACTCTAGCCAACATGAACCACCATTTAGCAATTTTTAAAGAATATTAGAATAGTCACTGTTGCCCATATTCTGGCTGAAGTGATCCCAAACTAGCCGACTCGAGCCATCTATTAGCCGACACTAGCCGGTGGTAAGGAGTGATGGTGATGTCCAAGTAAAAACGATAGTCCTTAATCACGTGATCTAGCGAGAAGCTTTTTAAGGCTTCAGAACTCTAGAGAACGGCCTGTTTCCGGTTAGAAGCCTCATACTGCACATCGGACAATGCACATAATGTAGCATTGCAGTGTGTGTGTGTGTGTGTGTGTGTGTGTTAGCGACTGAGGGTCCTCATGGGTGCCGCTAGTATCCACTCTGGGCTTTGGTAAATACACGCGACCCCTCGAAAATGTCCTGTCGAGGCAGCACCGTCAGTGTGCGTCGACTTTTGTACTCCCACGCCGCTTATCCCAAAAACCACTGCTCACGCTTTCCGTCAAACATATTTGTATGAAAAGGTCTTTAGAACTCTTCAGCCAAGAGAGGGAGGAGCTCTTTTCAGAGCTGTTGCGCGTGAGTACAAAGATCGACGCACAGCCGAGGCAGCGACATTTTCTGGCGGCGTTGTATATTTAGTTTCCATCTCACTGGATAAAATTAATGGCGTCACCCAGGAAAGCTTGACTGGAAAAGGGCATGTATTAGAAACACAGCAAAGCGACTTGTTAAGAGAATGTGTTTTCGGAGAGGCGTTCTCTGTTAGAGCGTCACTGTCAAATGTGATTGAGACCTGAAGAGCGAGCAAAGTACGCGCTCTGTCAGGCGTGAGAAGAAAGAAAACGCGAAACGAAATCTGAAACAGTTCGGACCACGGCGAGAACAGTGCCTGCTTAGGCGGATCGATCACTGGTGCTGACTGCGAGACCAAACACCGCCTTGACAAACATCGCTACAACCCCAACCGCAGCCTAACTACTCGGAGGACCCGACAACATCAAAGCGCCGCGCCATCAAGAACGGCAAGGCACGGGAAACAATTTGGGCATGTGTGTACCGACAACCCTAGGTTTAAAGTATAGGGCTTCGATTCGCATTTGCACTAGTAAAAAGCGTTTTGCTTTTCTTTCACGTAAGCGACACATCAGAGGCACCACCTAGCAAGACGGCCTTTCCATCGCCATAATGGCTGTTCTAAACATTCATTCTTTCCTAGAAACAGTCTTTTCCAATGAGGTCGCTTATCTCTGTTTTCATCCCATCTTGGGATTAAACGCTGTTTGTTCCATTTGCAGCGTCACATGCCTTTTGTCATATGTAACACTGGTTTCGTATTTATGTACCTCTAGAATGTTAATTTGGTAAGTATCGTGCGTTTGCTATTGAGATATACTTTTTACAACCTTGTCTCTTACCCCGCTAAAGCTCCTGTAATGGTTGTTCCAGTACTTGACAAATAGGTGAATGCATGAATGAATACAAGCTGCCGAAAGCGAACAGTCTACGCTGCAGTGAAAACAGTGTGACAGCCGTTCCGGTGTGGACACGATACTGAGCTCCCGAGCGAGTGAACAAGCAATCAGTGTCGGCGTACGATCGACAACAAAGGCAGCTGCTTCTGCGGCACGAACTCAATTCATCTCCTCCGTTGGGGCATAGAGTCCGCCTTTCGAGTCGTGCTCGGGTTCCCACCACAGCGAGGAGAGATGAGTGGGTGGAAAGGGGGAAGGGAGATAAGAGAAGATCTACGAAGGGGTCGTTAATGCATAAGCCCAGAATGGATACGGCGACCCTAATGGACTCCGCATATCCTATAGAGTCCGAGTGGGGAGAGATGTACAGTGCTGGCTGCCGTTGTGCACAACGCGAGCACCGACCGTACTGGCTCGTTCCTTGCGGGTCAAGCGTAAGGAGCGAGTGTGGTTTTAGAAGAATAGCTTCACTGAAGAAACGAAAGAATGAAGCGTGGTAATGTAGGTTAAGAATGCATCTGAGTTGTGCAGTATGAGACTTCCGGATGATGATTAATTTTCGCGAATGCGGCCATTGCTAGAAAGGATGCTGAAAGGTGGAGCTATGTGCCTGATGTTGCTAGAAAGGGATGCTAGAAGAACACGAAATGTGTTTGGACGGGGCTCGGTGCTGAAGGCATGTCCACGGAGTGATAAAAGCGTCACGCCCTCATTATGGTCAGATGCGGGTTCACCTGTGGGACGTTTCCGACATTGCTGAATGGAGGTCCCCTGGTCTCTGGACCGAGTGACAACTAGAGACGCGCCCTGAGCAATATTCTAGTATACATGAAATTAGCTGCTAAGTATGAGTAATCCCACATTTTTGTCTATACTCTAATACGTGGTGCTTATTTGTTCCAACAAGAGCTTAATTTGGGCGAGTTGGTTTATCTGGTATTAAAGTAACAGCGCGACAACGGTAGGAAGATACGTATCAATTTTGTTTCTTCCTACTGTTTTCGTGCTGTTCCTACTTTGCAACGATTATTTGCTCCTTTTGATTGTTTTGACAGTCTTCGTGTTCCGGTATTGATATTGCCACATATAGTTGTGACGTGGACGAAGGGAACAGTCGGCGTGCGAAAAAAAAAAAAAAACCTCTTTATTAGGCTGAACTTGTGGCCGAAAAACTGAAGCTTAGACTACAACAATACACACAGGCACAGATAGCGGCGAACAGAGCGTACAGGGCGTCGATCAACTGACAGGCGGTGATGCGCGTCGACATTTTTAGATACGCCGTCAAATATTCCAGCGTTATCGCTAGCGGCCACATAAGTCCCAGAAGAATCTGTAATGTTCCCGTGGTGAGCGTAATCACATCGGATAGTTGCACGATTATATCGCTCCTTCTTCACCCAATGGGCGTGGTTGCGCAATGCAGCACTTACACGTGCAATGAAGCGATAAGAAAACTTGAGAAAGGAGCGTGGCAATATCCTTCATTTAGGGACTTGAGAAATTGAAAACACATGCGCTGAAAATATGTATACACATGTAAAATGTCTTCACATACGCTATACTAGACGAGACGTGCAGTGTTGTAACCCACACGAGTGATTCCATGGGATGATTTCCCAGGCTGTGTACCTTGTTTTCAGCGGCACGCGATGATTTACCATGGACACGATATGTGCGCTTGCGCGTTGGGCAAGTCTATCCGTATACTCGCTGATATTACGGTTCTGTTTTGTTGTTAATACTCTTGCCTGGTAACGTATTTATGGTTCACAAACAGCAATCCTGGTGAGGCCTGCGTATCTGTGTTTTCGCATCCACGACCGACGAAAGAAGAAAAAAGAAAATGTCGTACGGTGGACGAATCTGTGATAATTAAAGAAATTGATGATTCGAAGAGCACTTGATGTGCTTTGAAAACGTGATGTCGGTAAACGAAGGGCACTTTAAAGCCTGGGCGCTATAGCGCCATAGTTTCGTAATGAAATTCTCGCCATACCACCGTGCTTCCTTGTTGACTTTAGGTGATAACGTCGCTCAATGTATACCAAGAATAATAATATAAATTTAGAATTGCATTGTTGCGTTCTCGGTCTTCGCAGTCATTGACCATTTATCATTTTATATGCTTTTAAGGAACGGTGCTTAATGTGCCAAACATTTTTTCGATAGATCGTTGTTCTTTGTCACAAAGGAGAAAACGCTATAGTGAGATTCATGTCTTTATTTGCTAAATAATCACTTCGTTCCGTTCATTTTTTTCCCCTTTTCTTTGCTCACCAACATGGATAACACTATGGACTGTGCAGTCTTCTTCTACAACTTCGGATGGTAAGCCTCTTATTCTACTGCATGTTTTTTTCAACAATCACAAGATGGGATGCTTTTCACAAACATTGCGCATTACAATTCGCGTATCAATGACACCGACGAAGCGATGAGATTGCTTCGTATATTTTGACGTTCTGTAAGTGTACATGTCCGCTAAGCGGCTTGCCCATTTTTGCACGCTCTTATTGGCTAAATCTTGACAGTGGGTGGGCTGGCACCAATAGGAAACTCCTGATTCGAACGCTGTCGAATCAGTGCACACGGAAACGAACAGTCTACACTTAGCGGACACTTACAGAATATCGACCTTGTTATAGGGAGGACTTTTTGTTATAGGGGTAGAATGTGTCATGACATGGACTAATTCAAAGTAGCGGTATTGCAGCAAAAATGAACAAACCCGTAAAACCTTACTCTATTCAGACTTACGATTACTATTATGACTTAGGAAACGTCCACTATAAATATCCAGCAATGGTGAAAACATTGACGTGCCCATTTGCTTCAGTGTGCTTTTTTCGTGCTAAAACCAATGATCCAGTTTGCACCCATTAATAGAGAACCGGTTGTAGAATGGAGTACCGACGTATGAAATTTCATTGTATGACCGCCACTGAGAGTAGGGAAATTCAATAAAAATATACGGTAAACAGGCTAACAAAATGCTTCGTATTGTACCGAATATTACGTCAGCTAAGAAGCGTGAACATTGCACCGCGTGGATTTAGTTACCGTACTTTACGTATGGAGACATTACATAATTTCTATTTCTGCAAGTTCTATTCTGTACATTGTACCAAGTTGAAAGTGGCTAATACGAAGTTGTTTGAATCAATTAGAAAACTTTACAAATGTTTCAGCCAATCACGCTCAGTCAATGGCCATGACGTTGCAGCACATAAGGTTTTCGTTTCAATGTCGGTGTCTCTCTTGAACAATGTTTTGTCAAGTGGTGACACTACCGCATGCGCAGAGCGGTTTTTTGAGGGTCACTTAGGTACCATCTCCTTGCATTGTTTTCGAGGGTAGTGGACGTAAACTGGAAATTAGCAAACATCTAAGAGCTGCGTTTCCAGCCATTCTTATCTTCACGAGAGAGGGAGAGAGAAAAAAAACGCAATAATTTTGTCTTTGCTGTGGTCAATAGAAGCAGAGGCCGGGACAGTGGCTCTACCGGAGCGCCCCTTCGCCAGGCCTCTGGTCTTAGTTCTTCGCACCCAAGACCCAAGACCCAAACTCCGCCAACACGTTAGGTCAGTTGGAAGGAAGGAAGAAAAGGAATCTAGCTAGCATAGACATGAGGGAGATATGTGTACTTTGTTATGCACTCGTTTGCTGGAACTATGTGATTGTTTGCAGACACCTTTGCAAAATATGTATTTTGTCACTAAACGAAGAAAAAAGAAATTGAGCGCTCGTTTTTTCTCCTAAATGAACTCGACCTTGATGAGAACCAACCAACAATCGATCCAAGTATAGGGGGTATGATTTTGTAGCAACTACGGTGTAAACGTGAAGAAATTCAAACGAACTTGCCGCCGGCATGAATCAAACCTGCACCCTTCGAATGATGCGTCCGATGCTGTACCAATTGAGCTATGGTGGTGGGCGACCCCCCTGTCAATTTTACCGAGTACGTGTATATCTCCATTTGAACCGATGAGTGTTAAAACGCAACTATGACGTCGACTGTAGAACACTCTTGTTAGGGGGCGAACCCTCCTTATGGTCTAGAGTGATCATGGGGGAGTGGGGAAGTGATTTTAAAAGAAAAGAAGAGAAAAGTGGGCCCCGTAACTGTCTCTCAGGGGGAGGACACCTCAACAGTAGCTCACGAGAATGGGGGTAGAGAAGGAAATAAAAGGATAGGATGAAAATGTAGAGAGATAGAGAGAGAGGAAGGAGAGAGCGAGGTGGTGGGACAGGGAGCGACGGAAGTAAGAAGAAGACAGGAAAGAAGGACATGGTTGCAGAAGTCCGAGAATGGGGCGCCACTAGCGAGAGCTCTTGTCGGCGGCAGATCGCGTAGGGCTAATCCAGTCGGCCAAAGCTACGCTGTCGTCGTCGTAGGGCACCGGCGGCCGGATGTGGCATAGGACCAACCCAGTCAGCCAGAGCAATGCTGTCGTCGGAGATCGCGAGGACACAACCGGTCGGCACGGAATCCAGCCAGTGAGTCTATCCGGTGGCGTAGCCAGACTAGAATATCCACAGACAGACAGACAGACAGAACAGAAAGACGACAGACAGACAGACAGACAGACAGACAGACAGACAGACAGACAGACAGACAGACAGACAGACAGACAGACAGATAGATAGATAGATAGATAGATAGATAGATAGATAGATAGATAGATAGATAGATAGATAGATAGATAGATAGATAGATAGATACGCTCGAAGTCGCCGAAGTTCGCTAAAAAATGCTTCGCATTTATTAACTGAGGGCAGAGAGCCTCGATATGATGGTCTTATGGTGGTCCAGGCTGATGTCCGCTATGACGGTGCCCACTCGCCGTCACTCATGTCCATGAGCATGCGCTCGCTTAAACTCCCGGGTTTAAATGCGAAGATATACCTACTTGATAAGAGGAATGGGCTGGGGACCACCGCTATAGCTCAGTTGGTATAGCATCGGACGCGTTATCGGAATGTTGCAGGTTCGTCCCCTGCCCACGGCAAGTAGCCTTTTAGGGGCGAAGCTCCTTATAGCGGCACCAGTTTGTCCCCCGTAGGATGTAACAAATATAACATTTTGACCTCCAAGGTAATGCCGGTGAGAGACTTCTTCTGTGCGTTGTTGAACAATAAAAATAGTGCTCAATGTACATGTCAATGGCTGGTAAAGGGGAATGAGAGACAGGAGCATTCGGCTTTTAGTTAACGCGCAGGCTGCAATCACCAATAGCAGCCATTGGCATGTACATTGAGCACTATTTGACAAGAAAGGGTTGCTACGTTATACTCGCTGGGTGTAACCTCCTTAGCTTTAGAAAGGTCTAGCGAGCGTTGAGCCGCAGTGCCATGAATACAATGAACTTATATATACCATGAATGAACTCGAGGTGGTTAAAAATGGGAAGTAGATACGAAGCGCAAGCCGTAAGAAAGTAAAAGCCGAATTCTCCGCCTCTCATTTCCCATGACGTTGCAGCACATAAGGTTTTCGTTTCAATGTCGGTGTCTCTCTTGAACAATGTTTTGTCAAGTGGTGACACTACCGCAGGCGCAGAGCGGTTTTTTGAGGGTCACTTAGATACCGTCTCCTTGCATTGTTTTCGAAAGTAGTGGACGTAAACTGGAAATCAGCAAACATCTAAAAGCTGCGTTGCCAGCCACTCTGACTTCACGAGAGAGGAAGAGAGAAAAACAAAACGCAATAATTTCGTCTTTGCTGTTGTCAATGGAAGCAGCGGCGAGGGCAGTGGCTCTACCGGAGCGCCCCTTCGCCAGGCCTGTGGTATTGGGTCTTCGCACCCAAGACCCAAGACCTTAACTCCGCCAACACGTTAGGTCAGCTGGAAGAAAGGAAGAAAAGGAATCTAGCTAGCATAGGCATGAGGGGGATATGTGCACTTTGTTATGCACTCGTTTGCTGGAACTATGTGATTGTTTGCAGACACCTTTGCAAAATATGTATTTCGTCACTAAACGAAGAAAAAAGAAATTAAGCACTTGTTTTTTTTCTCCTAAATGAACGCGACCTTGATGAGAAACAACCAACAATCGATCCAAGTATAGGGGGTATGATTTGTAGCTACTACGATGTAAACGTGAAGAAATTCAAACGAACTTGCCGCCGGCATGAATCAAACCTGCAACCTTCGAATGACGCGTCCGATGCTGTACCAATTGAGCTACGGTGGTGGTCGACCCCCCAGTCCCTTTTACCGAGTACGTGTATATGTCCATTTGAACCGATGAGTGTTAAAACGCAACTATGACATCGACTGTAGAACACTCTTGTTAGGGGGCGAACCCTCCTTATGGTCTAGAGTGATGCCGGGGGGGGGGGGAAGTGATTTTAAAAGAAAAGAAGAGAAAAAGTAGGTCCCGTAACTGTATCTGAGGGGGAGGACACCTCAACAGTAGCTCACGAGAATGGGGGTAGAGAAGGGAATAAAAGGATAGGATTGAAATGTAGAGAGATACAGAGAGAGGAAGGAGAGAGCGAGGTGGTGGGACAGGGAGCGACGGAAGTAAGGAGAAGACAGGAAATAAGGACACGGTTGCAGAAGTCCGAGAATGGGGCGCCACTAGCGAGAGCTCTCGTCGGCGACAGATTGCGTAGGGCTAATCCAGTCGGCCAGAGCTACGCTGTCGTCGTCGTAGGGCACCGGCGGCCGGAGGTGGCATAGGACCAACCCAGTCAGCCAGAGCAACGCTGTCGTCGGAGATGGCGAGGGCACAACCGGTCGGCACGGAATCCAGCGAGTGAGTCCATCCGATGGCCTAGCCAGACTAGAATATCCACAGACAGACAGACAGACAGACAGACAGACAGACAGACAGACAGACAGACAGACAGACAGACAGACAGACAGACAGACAGACAGACAGACAGACAGACAGACAGACAGATAGAAAGATAGATAGATAGATAGATAGATAGATAGATAGATAGATAGATAGATAGATAGATAGATAGATAGATAGATAGATAGATAGATAGACACGCTCGAAGTCGCCGAAGTTCGCTAAAAAATGCTTCGCATTTATTAACTGAGGGCAGAGAGCCTCGATAAGATGGTCTTATAGTGGTCCAGGCTGATGGCCGCTATGATGGTGCCCACTCGCCGTCATTCATGTTCATGAGCATGCGCTCACTTAAACTCCCGGGTTTAAATGCGAAGATATACCTACTTGATAAGAGGAATGGGCTGGGGACCGCCGCTATAGCTCAGTTGGTATAGCATCGGACGCGTTATTGGAATGTTGCAGGTTCGTCCCCTGGCCGCGGCAAGTAGCCTTTTTGTCCACTCTACACTACTTCACCT